TTTCTAATCACTACATCCGCAACTCCACAATCGCCACAAACACGACCTCATTTCTGAGATGATTGATCTTGATGGCTGCGACAACAGCACGACTAATATTATATTAGCAATTATTGAAGATGCTGATGAGCAGTGTAATGATTTTAGAAATGAAAGGTTGGACTTAGTTGGTGAGTTGCTTGGTAGAGAGCTGTGGGCAAATATCCATCTAAAGACACTATGGATGTTGATTCCCGTCAAGTTCCTACAACGAAAGCTACAATCAAATAGCTTTCGCGCCGACAATCGAAAGTTGGTGAGTTGCTTGGTAGAGAGCTGTGGGCAAATATTCGTCTTCAAGACACTATGGATGTTGATTCCCGTCAAGCTCTCACAATGAAAGCTACAATCAAATAGCTTTCGGGTCGACAATCGAAAGCGGCAAATAGAGGACTTTTCACATAAGATCGAGAAGAGTTACAATTCAACGACACTTCCGACGACGGATGAAAACTCTATTCAGCAGTCTTCACAATCTACGGTGAAAGTTACAATCTGACGACTTTCATACCCTACAACAGCTAAAGCCAGGATTACTGAACAACGGTCCTCGCAATACCTCACAGAAGAAGTTACAAGTCAAAAGCTCCTTCTGAAACGCGGATGTCATCCCCGCGTTACAATTCTGGAAATGCAGGCGACCCCCGCGTTTCCAAGCAACCCTCGCGTTCGTAGGGGTCCAACCAACACTAACACCCACGTCTCTAAGATACAAGCTGAACGTGAGCGACCCTCGCGTTCGTAGGGGTCCAACCAACACCGACCTTCGCGTTTCCAAGCAGGCAACAAGCCAAAACGCGACCGACCCTCGCGTTCAATGATGTTCAGCTAACACCCAACCTCGCATCTCAATTCTAAGAGGCGAAGTTGGGTGCTAAACGTCAGATTGGGCGTTTGACTCGTTCAAACATGAGTCGAACGGTTTCAGAACCGTTTATCCCACGTTCTGAGGGATTTTCGCCCACGTAGGAGCGGATATAGGGGTCAGTTACAACCTCCTATCCCCCTATAAAAGCTCAACGAACCCAACAAGTTCTTAAACTCATTCAGAGTTAAACATCAAACTTTACACAGAAGTTCATTGTTCCCACGAGATAAGAGACGGTCGGATCGTCAACGGAGAGCAAATTCGACGCGAGCAATCGAAGGAGGCATTCCATCGCTACCGAGAAGAACCCAGTTTTTAAACAAAGGAGAGAATCGAATTCGTTCTCTTCTCTTTTGTAATCAAGTTGTAATCGGAATCAAAGAAATACAAGTCAATTTTCTTTATTCTTTTCATTACAATTTTTCTACATACAAAAATGTTTCAAAATCCTACTCTGTATGCAAATTTCACAGCCTCACAAGCAGACAAAGCTTCACATGGAGACACATCGTCAACCTAATCCATCTACTGCTTCTCTCCACCTCGGCGAAGTTTTCCCAAAACTGAGCCGACACCAACCAAACCAAATGCCTCACTTGTTCCGTCCAGTACGAAGTGAAACGATCCACAACAACGGACTCAATCCACAACAAGTCGAGACCCAAACGGGAGTGCGAACACTCACCCAAATGTCGATATCTACTCACCAAATCGGCTGCATCAAAACTGACTGCCTACGTATCCTCTTGCCTAAGGAATCAAGCATTCACATAGTTCACCCAAATGGCCTCCAAATGCCTCAATCCACTAGAAGAGTTCGCAACCCTTCTCCAATATCACGATCAAGTCTGCGGTTGATAGCACCTCTAATGGCTCCAAACTGAACTAATCCAAACATCTCCACCTGAGATGAACCAATGGCCATATCCATCATCTGCATCCAAATCAACACGATTCCCAATCTGTGTCACATCAGCTAGAATCTCAAATGATACGGTATGATCTGGAGTTTCCACCCAACGTGGAGTAGCATCACTCTCCACCCGCTGCGATGTCCCAAAGATCTGATCATCACTCTCCACCTGCTAAGAGTCAAACGTGACATGCCTGCTCAGAACAAAGTCAGAAGCTAATACCTGATAATCAAACACGCCTCTGAATCCCAAATGTGCTATCGGATCAAATCTCACATCCACGATGTGATCAAGTGCTGGGTAGCCAAACATCCGACGCAACCCAAAATCTAAAACAGCTCCACCAGATCCCATATCTATACATGCAGCAGTCGGCAACCTATACATGAGACGGCCCAAACATGTCGTAGCCTGCACACAAATGGCAATGCTCGACATCAAACGCCGATCCTCCTCCAGAAAGGAACAGCTACCCAAATATACCATCTCGCCTTATCGCCTCAAAGTTTCCACACCAATGAAGTGTTTCCTATTGCCGTGAGCTCGACACAAATGCAAGAAAGAACCCCTACCATAATCAGAACGTCGGGTTACCTTTCTACCAACCCACTTCCTCCATCTGTTGTGGGCTTCTAGGATTTCACACCAACGAGATTTGGTTGCAACCCACCAATGGCTAGAGCAATCCCCAACTGCGGAAACCACATACCCTTATTGCCCCGTGGACGTAGGCAATTGCCGAACCACGTAAAACTATTGTGTTTGGATTTGTGCCGTTGTTTTGATTTGTTTGGCCTTTATCTCGACGTTTGTTTGATTTGGTTCTCGAAGCACGCTCGTTTGGTTGTCACGCTTCCGTGACGCGCACAATAATGTGCGCGGCGCGGAAGCGGTCGAATCACACAATCCAAACAAGAGAGATCACAACCAAATAAACAAGCAACACAATCCAAACAAGAGAGATCACAACCAAATAAACAAGCACAATCACCAATTAACACAAGAGATTTATGTGGTTCAGCAAGTTGCCTACGTCCACGGGACAAGAAGGGGATGAGGTTTTCACTAATAGAGAAAGAGTACAAACTGAGATTACAAATCACTCGAAGGAACAAACTAATCTCACCAACAAGCTCTTAATCTCTCCAAACAAAACCCTAAACAAATAGCTCAGAAAATACCTCTTTTCTGTGCTCCAAATATCCCCAATTTTTATTCTCCTCCAATTTTCTCTTCCAATTGTTCCATATATATAGAAATCTTAAAATCATAAACATACTAGGAATTTTAAACCAAAACCAAATCAAATTAGGAATCCTAATAACCTATTACCAAAATAGATTAGGAATCCTAATAACCTCATGTTACCAAAATAGAATAGGAATCCTAATAACCTTATGTTACCAAAATAGATTAGGAATTCCCTATCCAACAGCTTCATAATTACCATTCATGCCACAATATAAGCTATTCTTACTTTTGTATGATTCATAATATTAAAGTTGTTGATGTTAAACGATCACATAGTCAATTATATCCAGAATTGGAGAATTTGGTTCAATATTGAAGAAGTTATCGCTTTCTTTCTTGACTTTATATCTGGTTCTTGAGTTGGGTATTTGAAAATCTGCACAGGTAGAAATTCGTAAGCGGGTGGTTTTGGTTCCCCCGTTGTACTTCCGACGATCAAGTTAACTGATGAACTTGATTGGGGTATGTCAGAATTGTGATAATTCTTGTGTGTGTGCAGTTTTTTTGTAAAATCGGAGAATCTAGTTCCGAAAGCAAAATTAGAGGCCAGACCCAAGTTGAAATAGTACCTATATTTATACTAAGGTGGCGAGGGTAAATTGGTCACTTTGCCGAGAGCAGAGATGCGGTGGCGAAGATAGGCTGGCGGTCACGTCGGCACTTTCTTTACAGGTGTCGGCCATTGAGTGGAGGGAAGGTCACTTCAGGATTAAATGGGAAGTGACCGACGACGTAGTGGTGCCCACGTGATCCGATGAGTCATGAAGACTATCAGGGCTAGAGTCATGATGGCACCTGCCAGACATTAAATGCGATGTTGACACGTTGTCATAGTGGGAGAGGCTCGAGACGAAAACAATCATTTAGCTTCGTCGAAAAGTAACGCCTTTCGAGTCGACTTTTCAAGGCGCTTGACAAATAGTCGAGTGCACTCGTGGCGAGTTGTCTTCAACGGAAAGGGGGGCGACAAGTACCGTCTTTCGTGTCAACATGCACCGCCTTTCGTGTCGAAACTGAGGTGTGTCGTCTCGCCAGGTCGGCTGAGTTGTCAGCCCTAATTGTCTCTGGCCGCTAAGTTGATTAGGGTATAACGTGTAGAAGTACACTTGTTAGCTATTTGATATTGAGTTGTATTTTGATGAAAATGAGAACACCATAACAAAAGTTAATGCTCATCATGCAGTGAAAAATTGAATCGTAATGATTTTTTCTCACAAACATTGCTCATGGATAATGAAAGTTTTGAATCTTAAAATTGCTCTATACGCTATATTGAATTTGCCTTTTATCCGCTTAAAGAATTTGCCTTTTATCCACAGTTTAAGCCGAAACAATTTTTTTAACATTTGAAAATAATGTGTGCGTAGTTATAATAAATGATGAATTTAATATTTACGCGACATTTCACAAAGATATAAATATTTTCTATTTTTATTATAGAAAATTAATAAAACTTACTAATTGATATATTATTTTATTAACCGGTTTAAAAATTTATTTTAGGAATAATAGTAAAAAATAAAAAATATTATTAAAAATTTTATGAATGATTATATATAAAAAACATATTATCAATCTAGCGACCGATATAACTCCGTAAATAATACCCGCGGCCAGCAAGACATAGGCTTTAATACTAGTTTTCTTTGATGGACCCACCACAATCATTAGCACTAATCCATAATCTGCGGTGCCATTACTCAGCAGTACTCCAGCAGGACCACAAACAGAGACCGCACATCCTCAATCCGAATCCCCGCCATCAAACTCAACCCGAAATCTAACGGCCCACAACCCCCCGACCCAAACCCCACGGATCACCATATCCAATTGTCCATTGAAAACACACCCCAAATCCAACGCCTCTCATCCTCTCCCGCCAAAACCCCCAAAACCCCGAAACCCTATAAATCGCCCCCCCAATCGCATCACCAGTCCTCACCTTCAAATCTCAAGAAAAACTCAAAACTCAAAAGTCCTCAGATCTCAACCATGTCAGGCCGAGGAAAGGGCGGGAAGGGGCTGGGCAAGGGCGGAGCGAAGCGCCACCGGAAGGTTCTCAGGGACAACATCCAGGGGATCACGAAGCCGGCGATCCGCCGCCTCGCGAGGAGAGGAGGGGTGAAGAGGATCAGCGGGCTGATCTACGAGGAGACGAGAGGGGTTCTCAAGATCTTCCTCGAGAACGTGATCCGCGACGCCGTGACGTACACTGAGCACGCGAGGAGGAAGACGGTGACGGCGATGGACGTCGTCTACGCGCTGAAGAGGCAGGGGAGGACTCTGTATGGGTTCGGGGGCTAAAACCAAAAAACAAAAAGATTAGGCGAAAATTGTAACAAATTCAGGCTTAAATTGCTTAGAAATGTCGTTGTCTTACTTAATTTAATGTCAAAGTGGTATCTTTTTTCTCGACTCGGCTGGGCGTACGTTCAATGTAATCACGCATTGATTGTGGTGTCAGCACTTAGAGTTTGCGCTAAATCTGGTATTTAGTCTTAAACAATATTATTGCAATGCTTTTCTATTCTGCTCACGCATTGATTGCTTAAAAATTTGCCCCTCAAAATCGCTTATAATTGTATATTTATCCCCCAAATTGTTTACTTCCTTCAATTTTACCCTCAAACTTGAGTGATGGAGAAAGATGCCTAATTTACCGTTCGATATATTAATATACACACTTAAATTTAAAAATTGAAGCAACGCCGGTGATCATACCCATGAATATTGATTGCAAAGAGTAGCTATCCTATATTATAGAGCACCCCATTGTGAGGGTTGATCTGCAGCTTTTTTTTTTGGAGGGGGATGGATGAAAATTGCCATCATGCCTCCATCATCCCTAGCATGCGATTCAGAATACCACGCACTGTGGGGTTTTTTTTTGATAAGATTGCTATTTGGATTGTGAAGGATTGAGGTTGCATCATGAAGAGGTAGGTGTAGCTTCTTAAAGCCATCGTGTTTACAAGGTGTTGCTTTTTGAAGCCATCGTTCTTATCAAATCAAATATGGAATTTTAATTTAGATCTCTATGTTATATTAGGATAAATTGGACCATTTTAAAAAATCTTTCACTACTTTGATAGAATATTCTAAGTATATTCTATGTTACTTAACTTGGGGGGCTCAATTAGAGGAAGCAAACAATTTGAGGGGCAAATCTGAAATTACCGTGATTTGGAGGGAATTTTTTTAAAAAATACAAATAATTTGAGGGGTATATATATGAAAAAGGCTGTAAATATTGAAAACCTATATCTAATCGAAGTCTAGTTAACTCGAGAATTAACCCAGATTAGTTTTGCATGAGTGGAAATATCCTAACTATCTCATTGATTCCCATCTGAACGGCTCTCTCGCCCCACGTGATAGGTTCTAACATGATCCGCATTGGTGTTGGACCAGACTAAACTAGATTAGTTTTGAACTGGATGTATGGATTATCTCTGGTCAGATCATACGTCAAAAATTGGCGCTATTAAGTCTAATATCGAGATTTTGAGAAACTAGAATTATTCCGAAACCCCCAACCTATTAATTTTCTGCATCAACAACGCAAACCAATTTTGCCGGGGAGTCACATGATAAATAGCATCAAAATCAAGCATCTAATCAGATGTATCCACACGATTCACCTCTGGAGTAATCAATAGAGAAAAGCACGAATCATCGGAATCATCTCCTCTCGCGATGTTCACCTCATTGGCCTTTGGGCCATTCTTTTTGTTATTCTATTTCTCCTTGAGCTTCAGACAATCTCTTTTCCAATGTCCTCGTTCTTTGCAGAACGCATACTGGTTCTTCGCTAACTGGTGGTGGCCCTTTGACTTTGACATGTTCTATTACGAACTCTCGGATATAGACTTCTATCTCTTGTCGACAAGACCTCTCCTGAAGTACTAACACGGTAAGTCTATTTGTCATTTCTCCTCAAATCGTAGCTCGTCAATTCGTTAGTCACTTCACTGTAGGTGATGGAAGATCTCCCGTTCAACAAAGTGAGCACGAATGTATCATACTCCTCATCGGGTAAGGAGCCTAACAAGATAATCGCATTGTACTCATCTGTTATCTTCTCATCCACGTTTGACAAGTCCGACAATAACTTTGTGTAGTTGTTCACATGAGTCGCAAGTGAAGTGCCCCTAGACATCTGTAAGCGGAATAATCTCCGCAGCAAATGCAACTGATTCTTAACACTCTTCGTAAGGTACTTGTTGTTAAGAATCTCCCACATCTTCATCGCAGACGTCACTCTAATCACATTTTATTTTAGCTTTTATCCCAAACAATACATGATCATCCCACAAGCGTTCCTATTCATCTTGTCTCATATTGCCTCATCGTATTTCGGTGGCCTCTCAAAGACTATAATGGTCTTTTCTAAAATTTGAGTATTGAGAGCGTCATGTACGTCGCTCA